AGAAATCTGGAAAGAGAAGATCCAGGAACAAGAAAAGGAGGAGAACATCAGAGACCAGTCACCCAGCTAAACAGCAAGCCATGGAGTAAGAAGAAAGTTATATAGAATAGAGAAAGATAAAAGTCCAGGGGCAAAGGGCAAATGGGATAATTTAAGAAAAGCTGGCTACAAACAAACCAAGCTAAGTCCGGAGTATTCATAAGAAAGAATAAACCTCAGTGTATTTATTTTGGGAGCTCAGTATCGGGTCTCCAAAGAGTAAAAAGTTTAAAAAAAAAAAAAACCTGCATTTTGGTATACCAATGTGAGGCTCAAATATCCACCAGGTAGGGCCTGAGGAAGCTGGAAAGAAAGAAAAGATATGGCTCCTTTAAGAAACCCTGCTGTACAGCAGAGCACTTAAACAGCCTTTTTTCACACTAAATAGAAACAAAAAAACTGAATTAAAATGCCTGTCACAGTGCAGGGCACTGGCATTCCGTAGCTGGGGGTGGAATGCAAACCTTATGGAGTTTGCTTTCAATATGGCAAAGCTAGCCATTTGGGCAAGAAACTGCTTTGCCTTGACTGCTGACAATATGCTATATAAACTGGACATGCAGGACCCACAGGAAGGTGACTGCTGAACTTTGCTAAAACAAGGCAAGACAGTCCTTCAAAATTCCTGCTTCAGAGAAGAGTCTGCCTGAAGATGGATGCCCCAACTTTGCAGAGTGGTATGGATTATGCTCATTGTTAATAAAACACTGGTTGGCTAATAGCCAAGCAAAAAGTATAGGCAGGGTGATCAGACTGGGGATACTGGGGGAGAGATAGGTGGAGACAGGGAGATACTAGCCGCTGAGCAAGCAGAATTTGTAGAAAATGAGGAAATAAGCCAAGTGCCACTTGGCAAAGCATAAATAGAAATATGGAATAATTTAAGTGTAACGGTTAGCTAGTAATAAGCCCGAGCTATTGGCTGAGCATTTACAATTAATATAAGCCTCTGTGTGGTAATTTGAAAGTGGCTCATGGGGTTGGAAAACTCCACCTACATATGGCTCTTCAACATGGGGCTGGAATTTCCACTTAAGACCTAACAAAACATTAAAAAAAAAAAAAATTTAAACACACACAAAAAAAGAGCCAAGAGTAACTTCTTAGTCTTGTGTCTCTCATACCTGCTGAGGTAGAGAGACACATCTCGTGGCAACTGCCAGCATGCCATAAGCTAAGTCACATGGTGGGTTCCCATAGTCTCACATGGGCCGCAGTACAGAGAGGCATCTCCCAGTCACATGCTATGTGGCGGGTTTAGAATTTTTGTTCATGCAAGCAGAAAAGATTACAGATGCACAGTAAGGACAGAGTCAGACAAAAACGCCTCTAAAATGTTTACAGTGTATTTGAAACGTGCATAGGCTTGGAAGAGGGAAAATAAAGAATATATACAGTCTTAGACTAAAAAATATAGTTTTAAAATAAAAAGTTCTTTAAAAAGGAAGAGTAATAAAAACTATACTAAGCCACATAAAGATGAGAAAAATCCAGAGTCAAGATCCTATATGTTCTTGTGTTGTCTTTAGATTTTTCTGACTGTTAATGAACAAATAATAACTACTAAGAGACATTTGATTATGAAAACTGCTATATTAAACCAACCTATATATTTTAAAATTATCTTGACTTCAAAATTTAAGTCAAAAAATATGTTACTTTGGGGAGATGTTATGCTTTTGTTTCCAAAGGAAGTGAGAGGCTACAAATTCATTTCAGGTTTAAAAAAAAAATCCTGTTTGATGAAGAAAGACATCCTGAAAAGTCTCTAATGGCAGTGGGTGTTGCAGATGACCCAATATCTCAGAACGCCTCTGTTGCAGTTCCTTCTGAGTTCTGCATCTAGAGCAGCTTCAAGGGAACTGGCCGAGATGATCCAGCCTCACAGACTACTCCAGTTATGTCTTGACCATAATCCTAAATTTTCTCAGGAACATTCAAAGATAACAGTGTCCCCAAAACAACAGGAAGTAGTCTGGAGAATGAAGCCCACTCCCCCATAAAATAAATTATAGATATTTGTCATTGTTTAAGGTGTTTGGTCACAAATTGTTATTGGTCATAGTCAGAAAAAAAAAAAGCTAAAAAGGAAGACAGGACAGGATGTGGGGAAAAAAAGACCAGCCTAAAAAGACAAGACAGGATATGGAAAGGATACCCAGCCTGAGACAACAGCAATATTACATTTTTAATATTTTCCCTTTATTCAGAAGAACTGTAAGTACCTAAAAACCTCAACGGTGATAGAGATATGTTTCCCAGTCCATTTATTACAGGCTTTATAGAGATAGTACACTCTGATGCATATTGTTAGCCAAACCAAAGTCACAGCTGGGAGACTCCAGCGTCTTCCTGTAGGGGAAATGATGCTATCATCCTGATACTCACCAGGCCTGGAAGACTGTGGCACTCCTACAGCATGTGTGTTCAGATGCTGCAACAGAACACTGCCAATAGGATGGCTCAGAAAAATAAGAACTCATCTTCTCATTTCTGGGGGCTTGAGGTCTACAGTCCAAAGGCGGACAGGCTTCAGTTCCCTCTCAGAGATTTGGAGGAATCCCTTCCAAACCTCTTCCTAGCTTCCAGTGAATGACAGCAATACTTTGGTGACTTTGGCTTGTAGATCCATCCCTCCATTCCCTGCCTTTGTCTTCACGTGCTATTCTCCTGGTATCCAGGTCTCCTGTCACATAAGGACGCCAGTCATGCTGGACTTAGGGCCTATCCTACTCCAGTTTGATCTTATCATAACTTGATTGCATCTGCAGACTCTTTCCAACAGTCTCAGGCACAGACGCCAGCACTTAGAACATGAGCACACATCTGCGTGAGAGAGAATCCAACCCATAAAATATGCAGAGTGCCTCACCAGTGGAGCCAGTAAAAGCAGGAGAGAAAGCCCAACATGGCACAGAACCCAGCTAAGAGAACATTCACACCGTTGTTGCTATAAACAATAATGAAATATGAGTATATCCCAAAAAAGAATAAATTTGAAGATGGGTTGAAAAATTAAAGAGCAATGTGTTTCTTATCTTTTATCCACAGATCTATGTGTTTTACAACCTTGATGAAAGCTCAGACAGAAGAAAAAGAACCACACCTCCCAAAGGGTCAGAAGAAGTCAGGCAGTGCTGTCAATGCCTTGGAGTTCCACTGTGTTCCCCTGTGGCCCTCAGACTCAGTGTGGATAGTGAAATGAATTAGGCAAAGGTAGAGATCAAGATCCTTAACAAAACACCTAACTCATAATTAACAAAATTCTCCCAGTTACTGAAAGGGTTTGGATGAGAGTTCAGAAGGGACTCACATGGATTACTGGGAAATGAGGGATTTATTAGAAAAGTTACCAAGGCATAAACAGATAGACCACAGCATGGCCAGGTCTTAGAAGAGAGTTCAGAGATAGACAGCATGGGGATAGGGGGCTCCCATGGTAGAAATCGGGGTCTCCTCTTCTACCTTTCTGAAGGTGGTGGCGATTTCACAGTACAAACCGGCAGCCAGACACTGGTTCACTGGGCAAGGGGCAGGGAGGGGGTGAAGCAGGATGTGCGGTCACCAAAGACCCTCTGATACAAACTCACTTCCCAGGAAGAGATCCTGGCATCTAGCAGTGTGTCCGCCAGGGAATCAGTCACAGACGATGTCTCAGAAGGGCGTCTGTGCTATCTGGGGGAGGGTAACAGGGGCTGGATTTAATTCAACACTAGTACAGTTACTCCCGTGTAGCCCTGAAGTCGACAGCACGCTACCAATGACAACCATACAAATAGTCTATTAGTAATACATTATGGCTTGTGAGATGTAAAGACAACAAACGCAGCTGAACTCTATGACTTACTACAGAGGCAAGATCTCGGACACATTCCTAGACAGACTGAGCAGTGCTTACAACATGCATATTGAGGGAAGCACACAGGAGCCGTGGCTAGATAAAGATGAAATGAGTGTTTTTCTACTGGGCTGATAAAATTTAGATGTTCTTAAATGAGCATCACAACACTGCATCAACTTTATGTATTAGGCAACAGTCCAAGCATGTCACTCTTTCTGGAATTTCAGAACTCAATCTTTTGTGTCTGAGGCAATCTTGGCATGCAGCAAGATCCATGTCATCACTGTAAAAAATAATAATAAAAATAAAAAAAAACCACCCACTCACTGTGTAGACTGTAGCCAGCAAAGTGACAAAGTCCTTTAATCCCAAAACTCAGGGGCAGAGGCAGGCAAGTCTCTGAGAGCCTGATCTACATGATGAGTTCCAGGACAGCCAGGGCTTCCTGGTGAGCTTGTATTCAGAACTCTCCATAATCTCACAAATATTACAAGACTCCAAAGCATCTTTGAGCAGCTCTGCCTGTTTTAAACTTCCCAGGCATGGTCTACTGCACTCCTTCAGGACTGTTCTAGTTCAGCACACTTCTCCCTGATGAAGGAAAGGCAGCCATGCTGGACTGCACCTGCCTGGGCACAAGGCTACAGAGGGATGATGCCACAGCTTATCTCCAGCAACCTGAGAGAACGACACACGCCATCAGAAGACTGGGGCCTTGTCAGGGGACCATCGGGGGTCCAGCTGCACCACGGGTCACAGCAGTAGTTACACGCTTTCAACTTGATTTAACTGGAGCTTAGCATCCCAGGGCTGAGGAAATGCTGCTGGAGTAGGCAACAGAATTGTAGCTTCAACCCACTGAGAAAACATAAAACAAGGCTGCACACAGAGAGCAAGGGAAGAGATGCAAGTAAACAAACTTAGAGGCCGAAATGAAACATGTCTAAGGATTCCCAGGTGAATTTTCTTGAAGACAAAAACCAGAAACACCCTCCCCTGCTGATGTTCACAAGACCGAGTGAGACTCTCTGACTTCAAAGTTCTTTCTCTTACAACTAGAAGCACAACACACACACACACACACACAGCAGAAGAGCCTCCCATGCTGAATCTCTCTTACCTTCCAGAGCTCGGGGGGCCCTTCTACAAGTTTCGCTTTCGTGTGACAGTATTTTAGGGCCAACTGCAAGCACTCGGTTCCAAATTCCAAGTCATAGTCACTACACTGGTAACAAAGGAAAAGAGAAACATACATGGAGGACTTAACGAACTATAACACAATTGGAAAAAACAAAGCAAAACAAAACAAAAAAGCCTTTTATTTTACAAATGAGTAAAATATGAAAGGAAGCGCTCAGAGAATTAGCAAATGAGTTAATTATCTGACTGTATTATAGAATAATCGTTCTTATGCCCTAAAAATGAAATAAAGCAATGAGCGAACAGGAAAGTCTAAACCATCACAAAGAGCTGGGCTCCCTGGATGCCTTCGACTAGAACAATATTTCTTTCTGTTGCTCATCTGAAAGTAGGGCTGAGGAATTCCCACGTCAGAAATCTTCCTTTAACAATCTTCCTTTTACACACATCTGTAAAATCCAAATCCCTGTCTTCCATTTATAACATGATACTAAGCCATCACAGCTATTATTCATTTTAATATTTGGAATATCAATATATCATTCTTTTTTCTTTCCAGAGCTGAGGACCGAACCTAGGGCCTTGCACTTGCTAGGCAAGTGCTCCACCACTGAGCTAAATCCCCAACCCAATATATTATTCTTAAAACATTTGTATCTTTGTTTCTAAACACAGAAATGGTTCAGGCTTTCACTATATAGAAAAACAAAAATTTCCCAAACACAGTAAAACATACATAAATTTAGGTAGAACCAGCAAAACCATTAAGCAACGATATAATTCACTGAAGCTCTGAATAATATACCATCTACATAAAGATAAATAACACACAAGTCATGTCCTCAGAGGAGCTTCAGTCTAGCGGGGAGGCTGACTTCAGAAACCGGCAACAGGATGTCGTCTGCACCCTGGGAGCTTATCTACAGGAATCACACAGGAAAAACTACCTGACTGTAGTTTAAGGAGGGCCTATCAGAGGCAGCGGTCTCTGGTCGCCAGCAGAAAGACTAACTGGAAAATGAGGAACAACATCTAATCAAGTGATGTCTTGTCAAGGTAAGAGCATCAAGGCATTTTTATTCCCAAGTTTATGTGTGAGGATGCACCTGTGTGTGAGGATACACCTATGCATGTGTGTGTGTGTGTGTGTGTGTGTATGTGTGTGCATGTGTGTATGCACCTATGTGTGAGGATGCACCTGTGTATGAGGATGCACCTGTGTGTGAGGATACACCTATGTGTGTGTGTGTGTGTGTGCACGCACACGCGCGCGTGCGCATGTGTATATGCACCTATGTGTGAAGATGCACCTGTGTGTGAGGATACACTTATATGTGTGAGGATGTACCTGTGTGTGAGTATGCACCTATATGTGTGAGGATACACCTGTGTGTGAGCATACACCTATATGTGTGAGGATGCACCTATATGTAAGGATGCACCTGTGTGTGAGGATGCACCTATGTGTGAGCATGCACCTATATGTGAGGGTGCACCTGTGTGTGAGGATGCACCTATATGTGTGAGTATGCACCTATATGTGTGAGCATGCACCTATGTGTGAGAATGCACCTGTATGTAAGGGTGCAGCTGTGTATGATGATCATGAGACACAGGTGTACAGGTGGGTGATGGCGATCCGAACTCCAGTCCTTATGTTTGTGTGACAAGTACTTTACCCACTGAGCCACCCTGTAAGGGGAACAGCAGCAAGGCACAATAATAAATACAGTATTCAGCACAAATTCCAAAGTTACTTTATTGTACTGGAAGATGACAAAATCCTAACTGTAGTAGCCTTTGAAATTCATGAAAAAAAGCCGAATATGCAAAGTCTCTATTTCACCTGAACAGTTACAACTCACGTCTTCTATTTTTATGTGCTACATCATAGAATTTCAAGGAATGCTTAAATCCGAAATCAGGAGTTACATTTGATAAGTTAAGATGAATGCTGGTGGACCTCTGCTTTATAGTTTCAACATTCTTACAATAGTATCTGGTACTATGGGAGATATCTACAGAGGGAAGAGCTAACCCATGGTAACACAATAACAAATAACAACCTTGACTTTCCCCGAAAGGAAAAAAAGAAAGAATGAACATTCCCTAGCCAGCCTTGCTGATGCTCACAAAATGCGTCATGAGAAAAGTCTGGAGGACGAGTCCCTTCCTGTCTGCCTCCCATGGTGCAGTGAAACACACGAGATGCCATGCTCTTGGCTATGCCATAGGTGAGTCTGTGGAGAACAGGAAAATATAATGCAAATATTTATGAAATTTATTCAGGAAAAGAGGCTGGACTTTCTTGGAGACAAGTCTAGACTTACCAGTATATAGATTAATATTATAACAGTAATGGGGCTTGAAGACATTTTATAATAAAACTTTTCTTTAAAAGTGAGTTCAGAACTCTGCAGTCAGTAAAAAAATCTGAATGTCTGCTATTCAAAATATTAAGGGACAGATTCTTTTTCCTAAGACATGGAAAATTACAAGATACGATACACGTATGTGAGCAAAGGAAAGGCAGAGAAGTACCAAAGGGAAACTCTGTCCTTCAGTCTGTCAGAGCTGTAGTCACAGGCTAAGGAAGGAACTTTTGACCTCAGAAAAGTTCTGCTTTCCTATGAGAGCAAGGTCGCATGTCCTGGCTCATGCATATCCATATGCAAAGGGAAGAGCCACTGCTGGTCAATGAGGACACAAGGAAGACCCAGCTGGAGAGCTTGGTCCCTTCCCTGTGGTCGCATTGGTGGAACTTTTAGACTATACAACTAATGGAAGGGGTGTGCCCTTGAAGGAGATATGGAACTGCAGTGTCTTCTTCTTCTTCTTCTTCTTCTTCTTCTTCTTCTTCTTCTTCTTCTTCTTCTTCTTCTTCTTCTTCTTCTTCTTCTTCATTTCCAGACCCCCATGAGATGAGCAGTTCCCTCTGCCCTGAGTGCCAGAGATTTAACCACCTGTCCATAGCCCCAGAGCAAAGGGGGCAAGAGGCCACAGACCAAAAGCCACGAAACCATGAGATAAACATTTCCTACAGATAAGTCATTATATCATGTATTAATCACAACAGAAAGTGGACTAATATTCTCCCTACTTGGCCTGTTAATCCATAGATGTGAAGAGAAGGATCACCACCAAAATCATGGCCAAATTAATTAAAACAAGTTTTATTAGTGTATTCAGGCTTCCTCCCCCTAAGGCAGAGTTCAAGAGATCAGCACTGGGTGTGGAAAAGATAAGGTTTCTATAGCTCAGAATTAAGGGGTTTCTTAATGGGAGATTTGGCGGGGAAATAAGTTGGGGGGGGGGTCACAGAAGCAGAATATAAGCATAACAAGTTGGTCATAACAACCTTCTGAAACAAAGGCTGCAAGGCGGTCATAACAACCAAGGTATGGTTACCATGTCCTGGAACAGGCAGTACAGAACCATTTGCAGCTAAGGTTACAGGTGTGGCTAGCTTAATCTTGAAAATCAGATATTTAATCATAAATAGAAACATTTACTATAAGATGGCTTTTAAGTCCAAGATGAAGGCAGGCTGGTTCATCAGGCCCTCCTCAGTAACCCTTTCCCCGGGAAGAAGCTCTCACATACACATCTAGCTTTCTGCCTATTGGTTCCCATTGCTGACCACTTCAGCCGTTAAAACCCTGCACATATTAATCTCATACACTTTCCGTTCCCAGCAAAGTAACCCCAGCATCCTTGCCATGCCCGACTTGGTTACACGTGCTCTCTGTCTGCTATTTTCTGACTTTGCACATATGCTTATGCTTCCGAGATAACCGCAGTTACTGGGTAAAAGATAAACAGAACTTTGGCAATGCTGTAGTTATGGAGGGAGGGGCAGGCACTTCTGTGCATGTATGATGAATCCTCATTCTTTTCATGATCCTGAGCCTCTAGACTGTGGAATCATCAGCTGAGTCCTCTGAGCTACAGGAGTTGGGCCAGAGTTGGTTATTTCACCTCTCCATTGTGTTAGTTGTACTTTCTCATTGACGTCACCAAGTAAATACCTGGAAGACCAACTTAAAGAGATTAATTACTTTGCTCAGTTTCAGGTAGGAAGGGCATGGCAGAGCATCTCAGATTATGATGGACAGGAAGGAGAGAATTAACAGAAAGGAGCCAGAGCATGATGTAGTTCCACAGTATATACAACTTCCTTCAACAAAGGCTCACCTCTCACAGTTCCACCACTTCTCGATACTCTATTCAAATTTTGAATGCATCAATTAGCTTTCCAAATTTCCTAAATGCTGTTCAATTCGGTCAAGCTGACAACCAAGATAAACTCTCTGAGTCATGCTGATCAGGCTCAGGCTCTCTTGACACCACTTACTAGGAAAATTTCTGCTCTGGTAAGTTTTGATTCTGTATTTATCTATTTGTCTTTCCAAATTAGTGACACTAGTGTGACCTATTACCTCACATGTCTCAATGATGGAAGAAGTGCTTATTCCACTTTTACACATGCTATGATGGAGCAACAGCTTCTAAGCTCCTTAAAGAAGACCACACATACTTTTGAGAAGGCTACAAGAGGTGATAGTCTACAAAACTGGAAGAGAAACATGAGGCAAGAAAAGACATGCAATATGGTAAGCCTATCTACACAAAGGAGTGAGAAAAGGAATTCCAGGATAGGAGTGAAAAAGGAATCCCAAGTCATAACTCTGCGGAAGCAGAATGAGAACAGATAAGAGGCTCATCATAAAGAATATCTGTGGGAGGTCTCAAAATAAATAGAATGCTTCTAGACTTGAGAATCAGACATCAGGATTGGCACGAAGCTGTTTCACTTTTGTATGTTTCCCATGTATGCACTTTTCTGTGACTACTTCTTGCCTCAAAGAATGTAACATTTATGCAGTATATTGTACTATGCAGGGGAAAAGTGCTATATTTCCTAAAAACAAGTGCTTACTAGAAAGTGTAATTTTATTTCAAATATAGATATTTAAAACTTTCAGAAAACCAGCCTAATGTTCCAGTTATAAGCTACAGGGAAAATAAAATCTAAACACCCAAATCTAAAATCATATCTATGCATTGTTACTCTATCATACAATT